GTGAACTGAAATCACTATTCTGAAATTTACGAGGTGGTACAGCAGGTTCAACAAAAGAAAATTGTTGATTTGATGATGCTTGGGTTTCATATGATGGAACATATTGACTAAATGACGGTGATGATGGATGACTATGAATGACCTAAACATAAAAATATAATTATTATTGAAAAAAGACTACAAATTTTTATGTACTTACCCTACTGTTAGATGATGAATGATGTAAGCGAAATGCTCTTCCTTTAGTTTGTAATGAACTGTACAATTCACCATCAGTAAGACGAGAATCTACCAAAAGAAAGATAGATATGATTGAATGCTTTATCCGAAAAAAATATGTAAAATCTTTTTAGATGACAAAAATAGTCTTTATAATCTGCTTTTATTCCACAGTTTGTTCTTATCCTGATGTTTTTTTCTCACCCTACACCAGAAAAGAAAAACTAACTGAGAAAACTAACTAACATGTTCTTACCATTAATCAAATTTGTTGTTCCTGTAGTTATTAGATTAATTTTTGGTGTTTTGTTTACTTGACATGCTGTCTGTGGTATGGGTTGAATAACTGGAGGTAATTTTGTTTCACTAATAACAACTTTATTTATTGGACTAAATTGAGTCGACGAATTATTTTCAATATTTGCATTTATGGGACTAAGTGGTAATTGTTGTTGTTGTTGTTCTTGCTCTTGTTGTTCTCGTTCACGTTCAGCCGCAACTACTGAACAAACCTGAAATATAAAAAAACATGGAATAATTGTAAGAACAAATACTGAATGGTTGGCTGAAAAAGTGCTTTTTTGTGTTTATTTGTGTATTTTTTGTTTCTCATCCTACACTGGAAACGGTAACGGGTCTAACTAACTAACTGAATGGACATACCGATGCAAGATTTTGTAATGATTCAAATCCCAGTACGTCTGGTCTGGTTGTTGGTGTTTGTTGTTCCATAACGTTTAAACATTGTAAACGAGCTGAACGTCGGCAGATTAACGTTTCAGTTTTCGTTGATGATTCATTCAAGTCAGACTTCAGTTCATCGTTTCCTGAAGTCTCAGTATTTTGTTGTAAAATATTTGCAAACGATGGTGTTGTTGAAGACGATGGATATTGTTGCTGTGATGAAAGAATGCTTACAGGGTGGATAGGTGGAGACTAAAATAAAGTTAAACCATAAGGCTAACGAACCTCGTAATCAACTCGACATCAACATTATCGTTTTAGTACATCTCGTTTTGAGACTTTCAGTGACCACGACAACCATATCCTCGGCATTTTCACGAAACTGATTCTGTCTGATCACGTTCAATCCTTTATACATCTTTCAAATTAAGTTGCTAGTCTACCACAACTTGTTTCGAGTATTTCAACTTCTTTTACTTAAAAAATAGAAGAAAAAACTTCGAAAGTTCTTCGACTACAGACGCATGTGCCTGCAAAACAAAGACTCGTATAACGTCTCCATTTACATGTTACCGAAACCATTATGAATTTTTCACATTACTGAATTCGAACTTGTCTAGGTCACCTTACTCTGTGCATGCAATTGAAGAACTCTTGATGTTTTTTCTTCTAGTTTTTAAGTAAAAAAGTTGAAATACTCGAAACAAGTTGTGATGGACTAGCAACTTAATTTGAAGGATGTATAAAGGATTGAACGAGATCAGAAAGAATCAATTTCGTGGAAATATCGAGGATATGGTTGTCGTGGTCAAGTCTCAAAACGATAATGCGCTCAAATGAGAGTGCACTTAAGTGGAGTCTCAACGAGTTCATGAATTTGTACACAAAGTCACATAAAACGATCCAATTAGAATTTCTAATACATTATTAGAAGAAGTACACGGTTGGAAATAATATTTTTTCAGGGGGATAGAGCTGAAACTACAGATGATATAAAAATGTATTATATACCAAATTAATGCTCATCTAAAATGGAATTGATGTGTATGACTGAGATTCGGTATGACGATTATTGACTGTAGAATTATGGAAGTTTCTATCGAGTGCATCATACTGAATGAGCCTCCTAGTATTTTCTATTTTCCTCGTGTACGTTCAGGATCTCGCGGTTAGTGTTTTTTTTAAAAGATGCGCCACGAAATATTCTACAAAATCATACCTAAACTTTAATTTTAGAACTTTAATCAAGGAAACTACGTAAATTATACGAAA